AGCGTTTGATAACGAGAAAGCTAGAGCAAAACAATTCGATACAACGGCAGCGTCTCAAGAATTACGACTCAGCGATACTCCTGAAACTTTAGAACATCCACAGCCTTCGATTTTCAAAGGAAACTTAAAAGGTTATCAATTAAAAGGAATGAATTGGTTAGCAAATTTATACGATCAGGTTGGTTTACATGATACAATTGTATTACACGGAATACGAATTTATAAATAAAACGAACTTCTATTAATGTGTTTGATGTCCTTTCAGGGAATTAGTGGAATCTTGGCAGACGAAATGGGTTTGGGAAAAACCGTACAATCCATAGCGTTTTTATGCCATGTCGCTGAAAGATACTGTAAGTTATTCAACACAAAAGTCTTCGTACGTATAATGTAAGCACTTGTTCACTTTTTGCAGCTGTGTGGGGTCCATTTTTGATCATATCTCCGGCTTCGACATTGCATAATTGGCAACAAGAAATGGCACGATTTGTTCCAATGTTTAAAGTAGTTCCATATTGGGGCAATCCCCAGGAACGTAAGATACTGAGGCAGTTTTGGGATACTAAAGATTTGCATACGAAAGAGGCTTCATTTCACGTAGTTATTACCAGTTATCAGTTAGTTATTACCGATTACAAATACTTTAACAGAATAAAATGGCAGTACATGATCTTAGACGAAGCACAGGCTATAAAGAGCACCAGCAGGTTGGTCCTCAGTCCCTCCTTTGCGTCCTTGTCAAACATTTGGTATTATAACATCATCCCTTTGCAGTATGAGATGGAAGTTGTTGCTTGGGTTCAGTTGTCGAAATAGGTTGTTACTTAGTGGCACACCAATTCAAAATAGTATGGCAGAATTGTGGGCGCTGTTGCATTTCATAATGCCCACCCTGTTCGATTCCCATGACGAGTTCAACGAGTGGTTCTCTAAAGATATCGAAAGCCACGCTGAAAATAAAACGGGGATTGACGAAAGTGAGGCTCTTCATTCAGATATTTTGTTGCATCTGTAATCTTTAATACTATGATTTTTTTTACTTTTTGTAGAACACTTATCAAGATTGCATATGATTTTGAAACCGTTTATGCTACGGAGGATAAAGAAGGATGTAGAGAATGAATTGTCCGATAAGATAGAAGTAATGGTGTATTGCCCTCTTACAACAAGACAAAAATTACTTTATTCAGGTGAATATTCGAATTATTATCGACTACTTAAGTATCATTACATTAATGATTTCCTTGTACAGCACTAAAGAAAAAGATTAGGATAGAAGATTTATTGCATTATACTGTGGGCGGTGGTGACACCGCGACCAATGACAAAAACTTTACATCAAATCTTATGAATCTAGTCATGCAATTCCGAAAGGTAGAGTATAACGTGCACAAATGCTTCATTCAGCTTTGACAAACAACAGCTTTTCCGATGTTCTACGAATGCTTTCTAGGTTTGCAATCATCCAGAACTTTTTGAGCGCCGAGACGCCAGATCTCCATTCTTTATGCATACAGAATTTTACGAAATGCCAGCGTTATTGTATACAGAGGGATTGTTGCACCTCTCGTTGCCATCCAAAGATCACTTGCTGTATAATAAGCTGTTTATATTTGCTACCGAATACATTCATCGAACTCTCAACGATGGCAGCGACGGCTTCTCTCAAAATTCTTTCTCATTTAGTCGATTCATTAATTTGTCCCCAATGGAAATGACTAAAATGTTCATCGTCGGTATTTTATTCAGGTATAAAACACTTTCGTATCACGTGTATTGTATTCGACTAATCCAAACACTCACTTCACCATGACTCCACAGATTATGTCTTGTGACTTTAACGGAGAGGAGACTAAGAATTGCACGTTACTGGGAAGATTGGAACGCCAACGAAAGAATAGATGTCCCTAAAAACCAAATGTTCCTCTTGCCCAGAAAGGTCGACGATTTATCACTGTCGTTGCAGGACTTAATTTTTACAAGGAAGATGCTCGAGGGAGAGTCTGTATATACGCATAGTACACATGTGATTCATTCAATGCCTGAAACGGTTGCTCATCGAATCTTGCGTAGCAGTAAGAAGTCTGCCAATCAATCTTTGAAGGTTGAGAATCCTTGTTCCTCTGTTTTCGATAATACTTGAATAATTAAATTGTAGATAGACTGGAGCCCCATTTTCTTTTACAGAGAATACTTCCATCTAGCAAGGTCGAACAAGAAGACTCAAAGGTGACATTACTCCCGGAACATCCTCATCTTCCAAGACCACCGCTAATGAGATTCTGTCAACAGACTACCATTCCATCCTTTATCTGCGATACTTATCCTAAGGTTAGTTGTACGTTGCGTTGTAAGAGGGAACGATGGTTATGCTGACGTTATACATTGATATTAATTGCAGGTTCAAGCTAGTCCACGAAAATTGTATGTTAGTAATAGCGGCGCAGCATGTGCGTGGAGGAGGCACGAGGAATGCGGTGGAAAATTCGGTCAACGACTTCTGTGGCTCGGCTGTGAGCGAGCCCTTTCTATTTCGTCGTCGCAAGAGGTTGCCAATTCGCGTATAATGCAAACAACTCCGACGTTCTCTGTTGAACCCCATGGTGGATTGTCAGCGTGTACACCTATTAACGGATGGTCGAACATTATAGTACCAGGCAAATATTTCTCGTAACATCCATATTCGACGAACACGATTCATTATTTTATACAATATACTAACTTGTCCACGTGCGATGCTCTTACAGATAAACAAACGTTGGTGACAGATGCCGGTAAACTTTCAGTATTGGACAGTCTTCTACGACGCCTTAAAGAACAAGGTCACCGTGTTCTTATTTATTCTCAGATGACCAAAATGATAGATTTACTAGAGGTACTGCTACTCAATTAACCAAAACGAAGAACGGAAAGTCCTAGACTGGATGATCAACCGTATTCTTGTTACAGGAATACATGTATCATAGAAAACATACTTTCATGAGATTGGACGGTTCTTCGAAGATCTCCGATCGACGGGACATGGTCGCAGATTTTCAGAAACGGTAATTATCCCGCCGCTTATAGAAAGTCGATCGATTCGTTGTGACTCGTATATATTTCACGTGCACTACATCATCCGATCTAAATGAGGGTCGCCTGCTCGTTTAATGATAGATTAGACATTAATAAACCGAATAAATTTGACTCTCTCCGTCGCTTAGAATATGTATCGGCTTCCCATCATGTTGCATGACCATAGAGCGCGGCCTCTCAGCATGTCGTTCCTTGAATCGCTGGCGCATAACTAACACGCGAATTAATTGGCGAATCGACCCTGCCCTGTAGACAGCTGTGTCTTTGGCGACCCGCCTCGAATATTTGATTCCAATAACAAGCGATTCTCATTTTTGCTTATTCATTGCTCAAAGTGTGTTGCTTCTAACTGTTCGGTTACAAAATTCCACTAAAAGAGGCAAATCTTTCTTTCTGTAATTTGATTATCGAATTACAGTTTATATAAATTCACTATGAACTCGTTTCGACTGAATTCTAGAATCTAATATTTAACATGTTAAGCGCTACAGAAGTCTTAAGCGTTTTTCCATAGAGTTTTAAAACAATTATTAATTATCTGGGCGTTACAATGATTGCATTACACTATTATCAATTTAGTTATCAAACATTTTCATTTCACATGGATTATCTTGTGTGTTGCGATTGTTTTCTAGTCATTCACCAGTGACTGACATAGCGCTTAACGTGTTAATCTCAGAGCAGAATAATTAATCGCAGTCAGTAGACGTTGAAGCTTATACGAATCACTGAAAAGGTAACCGAATCGTGAGACTCCCGAAATCTTCCAAGTGCCACCGCTGGAAACGAATTAATTTCCATACGAAAGAAATTGAGTTCAATGTTGCAGGAATTGTTTCATGTTTCAGGGCGGACATATTCGTTTTTCTGCTGAGCACAAGGGCCGGGGGCCTGGGAATAAACCTCACCGCCGCAGACACGGTCAGTAATCTAATCCTTGCCCCCCTTATCGGCCGTACCTTGTACGTATTCGCTTAGGAGTTCGCGAGTCGGATTGTCAGGGTTGTCTGCCTCTGATATTCGGGACAATCTTAATTCGCCTAAGGGATGGGGACGGCGGGGGGTGGCGAGCGAGTAGTCGAATATCGAGGAGTAAACGTAGGAAGGATAGCGTGTGCAGGAATCACGATCCTGTCTCGCTAGGAGACAACATTTAATCACGAAAGTGTCGTTCGACGTTCGGTCCCCGAGTCATCGATTTAACAAGTCTGGAACTTTGCCTGATCGAACGGTTATTCCACACGATACGTTTTATGAGGCAAAAAGAATTCTCCGTTAAAATATCGAGACTAGTCACAAACGAATTATGTTTCCTTAAATTTCCTTCCCTCCGTTCGCAATGATATACAGTAGGAATTTGTATGTTCCGTTCTTAGAACGCTGGAATCGATAACGGGAAGCTCTTTTAAATTGATTGATGGAGGGTTTAGTTATTGATTCCAGTTGGTAGTGCAAGGGCGCAGGTGGAACGAGCGGGGGAATTTATGGCAGAATCGATACGATTTTTTGGCCAGGGTCGTTCGCCCTGCATTGCCGAAACTGCATTCTGTTGTGCATTAGACTGCGCCGAGCTGGGCTGCAGGTATGCGTCGCCGAGTGCATTTGCATATGCCCTGGTTCGAATATCGAGTGGAACCGTTTCCTATTTAGAACGTCACGCAATAAATGCCTGAATTTGGGTCTCCTGTTATGCAGATCCAAGAGGAGAGCGACGTCGTTCTGAAGAAGCTGTCATGCTTGAAGATGACTAGATGATTCTTCTGCTTTGCAGGTGATCTTTTACGACAGCGACTGGAATCCCACCGTGGACCAGCAGGCCATGGACCGAGCCCATCGGCTGGGACAAACGAAACAGGTCACGGTGTACCGATTGATCTGCAAGGGAACCATCGAGGAGAGAATACTGCAACGTGCTCGCGAAAAGAGCGAGGTTCGCGTTCACGTTATTTAAAGTCATTTAACATATCTAAATATCCAACAACGTTTCAATGGAATACCGTATATACCGACGCATGTAATTGAACATTTGATATCCTTAGATACAACGTATGGTCATAAGTGGTGGAAACTTCAAACCGGACACCCTGAAGCCCAAAGAAGTTGTCTCCCTTCTCTTGGACGACGAGGAGATCGAAGCAAAATGTGAGCGATTCTCCGAGCATCAATGATACTTTTCACAGTTCAACCGCGGATATTTAAAGTTAACGAAACATCGTTGCGCTATATCAACCTTTTCATTACAGTTTCAAATTATAACGAATAGTATGAACACGCTTACCAGCACAACTCTGTCCAGAAGTAGACAATTTTCCATGAAAAACCGAATCCAGTTATTCTGACGGTTTCGTGGCGACTGAAATAACGTGTCTCTGCTCAGCGGGTGCGGTGGCATTCCGCAATCTCGTTGAAAGAAAGTTTGAAATGCTAATACGGTGAAGAGCGCCGGGGTCTCACATTTTTGCTCGCTGAAGCGCGGTTTCGGTTGCACTCTCGCGCTGAAACGCGCTCAGTGAAAGAGCGGAGAGAAGTGGGACAGGCTATGTGCTGGTCTGCGCATGTGTGTGTGCGTATGTGCGTATGTGTGTGCGCGTGTACGTGGATGCAATTGCATTATGCTCGTTAGGTTATGCTAATGCCCTAATAACGAATAATAATAAGAAGAGAAGTAAGGAACGACCCCGTGTACAGGCCTGTGTTCGTATATTTCAGACAGCCAACGGAGCGAGGAGAGAAAGCAGCACGCGGAGGATGCTCGGCTCGAGTCGAACCTACACCACAAGGAGAGGGACCGGAAAAGGAAGTTAACCGCGCTTCCGGTCAAGGTGAGCCTGGTGCCCTTAATGCCGCTATCGGTCCCAATTCTTTTCTTCGTCCTCCTACTTTCACTGTTCGCCTAACAAGCCTCTTCCTTTCTCTTGTATCTCTTATATCTCATTATCCCGCTATCTTCGCCATCGCCGCACACTACTACAGATTTTTTTGTTGGTCTGTTAAATGCGAGGACAATCTGTTTCCAGGGCGAAGCGAAGAAGCCGTGCCTATCCGACGCGAATGGCGATAAGATTGGAGATACCGCGCTGTCCAATTCGAATGACGGCAACCAGGTGACTAACATTCAAGCGCATCTCGTCAACAACAGCCAACAGTTGCTCGACACGGCGGATGACTACAGCGTACCTACCAGTCCTGCTAAATCCGAGGTTCGTTTTGCTTCAGGATTCAGGTTATCGTTTAACTCTAGAAAGACTCAGCTTCTCACGTTATTATCTACTCGCGCAGGACGAGACGAGCAACGATGGCCTAGTCGTCGACGTGGATGGCCCAGTTGGCGGCACATCCAGCGACTCGCGACAGTTCCGGGTCAGCCAGTTCAGTGAGCCGGCCAAGGTCAACCGTTTGGATCACCACATACCGTTCAGCAGTGGCACCGGTGTCCGAATGAGGCCCACGATCCGCGGGACCAGTAAACGAGGCAGGCCCAGGGGTTCTCGCAGAGGAGGCCCCGTCGGAGGGAAAGGAAGAGGGCTGCTGCTTCTTCATCCGCCGTCGAAGGGGGTTGGAAGCGATCCTCAGTCACCGGCGTCCATGTCTCCAACCGGTAGCAGCGCGACTAGCGAGCAGATTCTTCAGCATGGTGAGTACCTTACTTGTTGAACACTTTCACCTATATTACAGTCTTCCGACTGCAACCTGGTATTCTTGAACGAAGTTCAGTCAGGAAATTATTGACTCACTTTTTCTGACACCTCGCCAAGGGAGTGTGTTGCGTTTGGCAGAGCATAATACCCATGAAGATTAATAGCAGTAGCGAACACGTTGCATTGCCTTTCTGCAAACACATCAAGCGCAAGCGGCACGTAACGTATTATCGAGTGCGGCACGATAGTAACGAAGACCTTGATCAGCGATTTCATTTTATCCTGTCAACCGCACGCGTGTAAAGACCCGATAATCAACCGCGATTCCTGTTAACCATAGTTCTCCGTGTCACGCCAAGCCTTCCGCAAGGACGTCGGCGTCTATCTCGAGCCGATCAGACCTGCCGTGCGAAATGGAGCAGCGTCCGTCGATAAATATTTCAATTCCAATGTCCGCGGCGCGCGTGACGCGGCAACCGTTGAGCGGTTCGATTTCATCTGGTCGTGGCGAGCTTCTATAAAACGGACACGATTTGTATACTGTCCATCGTCGATATGAATATTTAACAGCTCTATCTTCGTAGCGTATCGGGGTCCGATTAATCAGACTTTCCGAGCGCCGACGAGCACGCCGGCCGAAGAATGCGTTCCACCCTTCTCGTTTCCACGATGTCCTCTCTCTCGCCGAGGCTTCCATCTGCGCGGGATTCGAAAATTCTCACTCGAAGCGTTTTCAAAGATCGCAGGGGGGCCGGCCCGGGGGGAAGAGGATTAGCAGGAAATTTTCGACGAGGGGGGCGAGCCCGGAACGCCGGTGAAAATGACTTTTCGTGACGCACCCTCGGGATCGATGCGCCGTTAATCCCTGCTGACTCTTTTCATCGACCTCCGGCGCCGCCCCCCAATTTCGCCGCGTTTGGCCCCGTTCTCATGGGACTCCCCGGGCGCAAGGACTCCCCCCGGATCCGCGGATGCGTCGAAATTCCCTCGCGGGTACATATGCGAGCAAGTGCAACGCCGGCGAACAGTTGGCGACGCTTCCGAGGGGATGCGGAGCGCGCTGTCCACCCCCCTCCGCAATGATTCATTCTTATGTCGCGGTTCGCTCGCCCTTAAAGAGTGTGCGTCTTTTGGGACGGGGTCGTCTCGTGGCTGGCCGGCTAGCGTTGGCTACTTTCCTCGGTCGATACCGGGGAATTGATTAGGGAACGCTAATCCGTTAGGGGTTGACTGGCTTTTGTATATTTTACTGGATGTAGCAGTGCTTTCATGGGTGTTCGTGAATTTCGTTGAAGATTTTATACGTGGTTTCGTCGAGGGAGGAATATTTTAATGATTAATAATTGATAAGGGTAGGTTGTATTATTTCTTTTCACTGTGAACTGGGTGCTTTGTAGTTCAACGTAGACTCATTATGAACACAGATTTTCTCTCCGGCAATTTACCAACAATAAGCCTCAATCAACGCAGCTGCGAAAGAAATGATGTAGCAGGGGGTTAAACGAATTAGGCGTAGCCATCATCCTGCCTCTCCATTAACCTCTCGCCTTGTGATCCCCTCGCAACTGCGCTTGATGGAGCTACTTTTGCTTAAGTATTAATCACGTTAATAATACACGTTTACTCCGAAGCACGATAATTGCTGTTAGCAAAACAGTGTTTCATTCGGACTCGGCAGTCCGGTGATATTTATATCCGACCAGTTTTATCACTGGAACTACCAGATGGGTCGGCGTGATTCATCCCAGTGTCAATACTGGGTTCACGGACACCTCTATTTCTCATTCCTAGAAGAATAGATATTCGGACTCCTAATCAGAGGTTTAGAAACACAGTGTACTCGAGCAATTCAATAGAAACGTTCGCCAAGCAGTACTCGCAAAATAGAAACACAACCAGAGCACTCGAGCAATTCAATAGAAACATTTGCCAAGCAGTACTCGCAAAATCCAACGTTACTCAATGCCTAGAGCCTAACGTTCTAATCTACACGCTCGATTCCACCGCGTCCAATGTCTCGCTTCACCCTCGGCCAACCCCTGGAACACCATTATATTTCGCAATACTTCCCATCGTTGCATAACGCATTGTATCGCGTCGCGTAACGACGTGGAGGGGGAAGGGTGGCGCGTCGTTGACGAGGGGGAGCGAAAAAAGAAAAAAGCAGAAGAAGAAGAAGAAGAAGAGGAGAAATAAACGAGCCGGCCACGAGAAACGGGTAGGTGGCCCTCACGCAACGAGACACGTGGACCGAGAGTTTACGCGGGCAACGTGCACCTCGCGCGCGCCGTACGGATCTCCGTGCTACATATACGGAAAGGAGAGAAAAGGGGGTCGGTTCTCCCTCCATTTTTCTCTCTTCCTCGCTCCGGCCGGTTGTCGTCGACTGGAAGGCGAGCGGACAATAGCAGGTGCGGAGCGAACGCGACAGCTGCGATCGATGATGCTCTTCTTAGGTTTTTGGAACTCGCTCAACCCCCCCGCCCCTCGCCGCCTCGCGGCGAAACACGCTCGCCGCGATGCCTTTCGACTATCACTTCGTTATCCGGTTCGCTTTACCTGATTATCGCTTTGCCTCGCGTCGCACTCTGTAGGAGATCTCCTTTCTCCTCTGTTTTTGCGCGTGTTTTCAGGGGATGATCGTGGTTCTATTAGGTCGCAACATGTGAAATGTCCGATTTTGGTTTGTCAGTAGTTCAACCCGTTGCGGACCATGATTCGTTGGAATATACAGAACCTGCAGATGAAGTTATATCGGTTGGTTAATTAATAGGAAAAAATACGTGCTGGTTTCTTGCTGTCTGACTGATTAAATCAGTTGCTTGCGACTTAGTCTTCCAAATACATTTTATCTTGTTAAAATGTTGAGGGTTAAGTTCTGCTTTTAAGGAACATTAACTTTTTTGGTTTCGGCCTTCGCTTGTTTTAAATTATCCCTCATCCTTCGTATTCTTGAGGGATTAACGAATTAGAAATTTGTTGGGAAATGTATGTAGAACCCAATGGTTGTTAGTCTGATTGAAAATGTTGGTTACCAAAGGATTGGTGTTCGTAAAGTTATATTTTGTAACACTCTGTGGATTGTTTTTTGGCGAGGGAAGTCGAGGGATGAAGTTCAGAGGTTACTCGTCTCTTTTGTCAGAAGTTTTGGGGTTGGCGATCGTTAGGTTGAAATTACTCGGAATTCAGATGTTCAAAACGTTCCTTTTAACAGAAATTTCGAAGTTAAATCGAAGTTCCTCTGAACGGAAATTTTCGTGTCGGCTTTCAAAGGGGAACGAATTCTAGAAAACGTTTCTTCGTTTTACTGCAGGTTTCCAGAATTGGCAACGAAGTGAAATTACTTCGAATTTTCGTTCACGAATCCATTATGCAAATGGACGTTTAAAACACATATTCCGATGCGCGTTCCAGCATGTTTATATATTTTCATGGCACTCTCGTCGTGTACCCGATTTCATTATTTTGTCATTTTCATCTTCATACCTCCTCCTTTCACTCGTCGAGTCTTATTTCTCGGCGATCCTCGTTTTTGGTAAATAATAATAACACGCTTCCCCTCGGTCTCATTGGTCGTTATCGACGCAAACTGTCGCCGCAATTTTACCAGGAATTCATTAATTCGCGTTCCTCTGCATCGAAAGGCGCAGGAGTCACGCCGCGCGCGATGCGTTTCGCAAACAGCAGCGGGACATGTGGCGGACGCACTCGTGAAAGGTAATATGACGTCTTTCTTCTCGTAATTTTCCTTTTTTTCTTCACGACACTCGCATTTTGCCGATTCTCGTCTGGCGAACCCATCTATAAACTATCGCCAAAGGAAAGCAACAGAATTCGATGATCCATCGGTGAAGGATTGAACGAAAACCAAATGGAAAATCATTGACTTCGATAGACTACTTTCAGATTCGTTACTCATTCGAATATTTTCAAGAAAACAACCAAATGTCTCTTCATTTTCTCAAGTACTTGTTCTTGTCCAACTGCATTAGTCACGAATGCAACCTTAGTAACAATTAAATCAGCTATCGATGCATAGATAATGGAGCTTGAAATTTTAAGTTCCCCAGGACTTTTTTTTCTAATCGATCAACCGTTTATACTGAATTCGCAGACTTTAAGAGAGCAAATTGAAAAGGTGATTCCCCGGGGGATTAAACAGAAGTCCCGGCCGACTTATTTCACGTCATTACGCTTTATAAGGGAGCTTAACGCCGGGAATATCAAACGGGTGAAATTAACCTATTTCAGGTTGAACGTTTCGCAACCGTCGAGCCTGTAAAGGCGCTTCCGTGAGAAATTGTTACGCGGCTTCATTTCTTCGAGCGGGTATTACGATAATACCCGCGTGAAATCTGAATAAACCTCCCCGTAATTTCTACGTGATATTAAAAGCGAATTACTTTCACTGCCCGGTTAATTCTAGTGCCGACGCGGCGCGGGATATTCGTTTCCTTTCTCGTTTGCACGTTTAACCCTGAATTGTCGGAGCGGACCTCGATGGAAATCAATCTGTTCCCCGTGCACATCGGGATTTCAATGTTCCTCTGGCAAATGCAATCTTTCTCGTTAAAATTTCTTTCGATTCAAACTGAACAATTCGAAATGATCTATACAGTTCAGAAATATAATAAGAAGCATAGCAAGTAAATACTTATTATATTAACCGTATTTATTTACTGTGTTTCTATATCTAATGTTACTTATTATATTTATATTTATTATTTTAATCTTAACATTAAATATAATATAACAAGTATAATAAGAAACATAGTAAGTAAATTTAAGAATGTTGCTTCATTCTCGATTAAGATTCTAAAAAAGAAGAAATTACTTTTCGGAGAATGTTTATTTCGCGCGAAGGTTCGTTTAACAATATTATCATCATTTATCAAAGATGATCCGCGAAGTTTCCGAGTCCAGAGATCGGAGGATACGTTTTGTTCCAACGGGAAATGATTATTTGCTCGCGAATCGCGTCCGATATCTCTGGTTATGGGTTTCAGAGCGAGGGTGTGGCCGGGAGGGGGTTGTTTTTCGTGCCGTGCCCGATCGTACCGCACCGTGTCATCCCCCGGCGTGTTTTCGTGTCGCGGAACGAAAAGTAATTCCGTGCGGTTCGAGTGCTCGGGACGAATTTCTGGTCCCGCGACTCGCCTGACGTCGCGACTCGCCGATTACAGCCCTCCCTGAAATCGGATCGGACCGCGGAAATTGAAGTCCCGCTCCGCTCGTAAATCCCGGGACACGGAGCCTCGAGCATCGCTGGAACTATTACGCGTCGGTCTTTTTCTTCGCGGAATTTATTTGCTGTGTTCGATTATCGGACAATGGAGGGGCCCTCTGTAGCAACTATGCTGGATAAGTTATTAGTCTGTGGTATATTTACGGTGTTGCTTGCATGTGTTTGGTTCCATTGGTAGTTTTGTTTCGATGGAGTTCTACAGCAGGTTCTAGATAGGCTTTCAGAGGGTTCAATTAGGTTTCGACTGAGTTTCGCTTAATCTTAGCTAGGTTTCGACTAGTTTTCTAGGATTATGCTCACAAGTGGCATCTCGTTAATTCCAATTATCTCACTAAATCTTGCCAAATCCTAATTAACTAAGTTCCACATACTTTTCACTAGGTTTCAACTAGTTTTCAGCTAGGTTTATATTCATAGATGTCATCTCGCTAACTCCAATTATCTCTCTAATTCTTGCTAAATCCTGCTCAACTAAGTTCCACTTACTTTCCACTAGGTTCCAACTATCCTTCCATCAGGTTTACATTCAAGTGGCACCCCGTGAATTCCAATTATCCCGCTAAACCTTGAATAATTAAAAGCACAAAGCGTCGCTTCCAACGAACGCAACAACGATAACACATAGACACCGAGGAAAAAGGAGAAAGAGCCGCAAAGGGGAAGGGTCGAAAATATTTTCGCAGAGGGTCCTCTCGCGGTTCCCGCGGGACGCGCGCGTGGGTGAGATCCCCGGCGGGAGATAGAGGCGCTCGCGCTAAGTTGCCAGCACAAAGGGAAGAGGGTCCGCCGGAGAGTTTCGAGGTACATAGTCTGGAAGGGCGAATGGAACGCGAGGATCCGCGGAATGCCGACCGTCCGGCTGGCAATATCCTATCTTCCCGCATTATCCTGCCGTATCTCAGCCGGCCAACAGCCGAACTCTCTCTTATCCCCGTCGCCTCGTCCTCCGACGCCGCCTGAGAAAATTATTGCATTCTAAGGCGGGAACAATGAAATAGTTTCGGCCCCCTTGCCCAACCGGAATAACGAATCGCTTGATTTGCCATCGTAATAACGAGAGATCGAGGATCCTGGGATCCCGCGTTTCAAGCTTTTTCGTTGCGACGTAATCATTCGGAATCATCGCTGAGGATGCAACTTATAGAAACAGCAATCGGTGTACTCTGGGTTATTGGTTCCACCAGTGTTCACAGAATCTATCAGAGAATTGCGGTCGGATATCGACAACAGAATGCTTCGTTCCCCTTTGTCTCAACGAACAACCGAAAGCTACAAGGACCTTAAGGCCGAAGCAAAGAAACTGGAAAGCTCTCTAAAAGACGAGAATCAGCAATAACGATTTCCCACGTTTTCCCCGAATGATCTCGAAGTTGCCGTCGGTTCACCCTTCGATTCCACAAGTGGGGTCTCAGGATTCGGAGTTCCCGTCGGGACGTCCAGTTAGGTATCTGTAATTGCTCCCGGTCCGCCGAGTAGGCCTCCGAACGTCGTCGAACGGGACAACGAGGAGCAATCTCGTGGAGGGCCTCCCTTAGTCGCGGCAGTCTCTCGTCCGCGCCTCGAGCACCTCGGAATCCGGCGCCCTCGCGTAAATCCGCCGGCAGGGGATCGCGCGCAGAATTTCGAAAGCGCATAACGACGTGCTCTTCCCAGGAGAAGCTTTCCGTCCCTCCGCGTTGAGAGGCTCCTTCGCTGAGGTGTCTGAAGAGTGGCTCCTGAAAGGTTCGAGAACGTGCCAAGGAATGTCGAGGAATATTGGGGGAGGGGGGCAGAATAAACGAGAGGAAGGAAGGAAGGAAGGAAGGAAGAGGGTCAGACTAGTCTGAGGAACCGTCCTCCCGTAACATCCTTGCTCGGCTACTGACCTCCGACCCTGTCACTCCCTCTCGCTCCTCCTTTGTCGGTGATTTTTCTCCCTCGCTATCTCATTAAATTCTTCCCTCCTCCTCCTCTTCCGCTCTTCTCGCTGCGTGACCGTCTACGCTCGTCCCGCCCCGCGTTGCTGGAAAGTTGGCACTTGGGAGGAATACAGCCTCGAAGTCTAATTGGTTCGTGGACGTGGTAAAGGACGGTTCGCGCGGATTCGTACGTCGCTCGTGTCGCATTGGCTGACGGATCGAAGATTACTGGCTGACGCGAACACTGTTTATTTGCTTCTGTCTTCGGGAAAGCTCGATTTCTCGAAGAGAATCGCCTTCGCTCGCGAATCTTCCAGTAGCGGGAGATAACTCTTCCAGTAGAGTTCCATTAGGAACAGTTTATGGTTTAATAATTTTTATAGTATCGTGGCAATGAAGATTAGAACGAGCAATCAGCATTTCTCTATGGAAACTCCGAGATTGATCAGTGTTTCGATTGACTTGTAATTCAGTTTGGGTATCGGCGAATCGGTTTCTTCGGCGATCGCTCGGTAGAGCGTTGTCTTCTCGATGGTTTTAACAGGAGCACTCGGGAATAGGTTATTTCGATCCATCCAGTAGTTGCGGCGTTTATCAATGCCACAACGCGCTAAGAGAGGCCATCTCTCCAGCAGAGTACCTCGGGCTCCTGCGCCTGCGATCAGTCGAATAGATGCCGTGGCACGATCCTCGGGAGTTTGTCTTCTTCGTTCCCCGCCGCGGTGGTACCGGTGAATAACCGATTAACTGGTCAGACCACTCCACGTGAAACGGTGTGCCCCCTCCCGTACCCTGCATCTGCCATTATAATCGTGAAAAGTTGCTTGCCGGGGCACGTACGCCCCGAGTCTTCTCCCCTCCCTCCTCCGGCCCGCGTTTCTTTGCCGAATTTTGCTCGATGCGACGCGATTCCTTCCGCGTTATCCTTCCCTCGATCGGAGGGATACCTTTTCTTCGACGATAATCGGCGTTCGTCAATGGTAGACTCTGAATCTGTCGATACCTCGCTAATCGATCGCTGTACGGTGCTATCGGCGAGCGTATAGAGAAGCATTGCGCCTGAAAAGGGAAATTTTCGTTACAGTCTAGGTTTTCTGTGTAATTCAGAATACACGATGAATTGCAAGGATTATCGATGTACTGACCTAACGAAACAAAGATAAATAACGATCCTTTTGTACAGGAGGTCAAGGCATCTCAGGTCCAGCAGAGGGCGACGGGCCCAGCACGGTCGGTCCTCTGGGTCCCGTTGGCCCCCTAGGCTCGGTCGCTACCAGAGGAGGGCCGCCAACGATTCGACGGGGTCCGGGGAGACCCCGCCTCAGGCCGACGGGTCCAGGACACCAAGGATACCGCACTCCGGGTCACCATCACGGCAGAAAGGTCCAGCGACCTCTGCCAGTGCCGCTGAGGTCCCAGCAGACGATCGCCGCGATGAACCAACAGAAGTCGCCTGGCCAGCGCTCCTCGGGATCCGGGCCGTCGATGTCCTCCGCGTCCTTGAACGCGGCCTCCTCGTTCCCCTCGTCGACGGGCGAGTCCAGACCGTTCGGCTTCTACACGCAGCAGCAGCAGCAGCAGCCAAGGGGCTCGTCCTAGCTTCCGGAGGACGAATTTCTCCGAGTGATCCTCGAAGGAGACTCCTAAATCTCTTGCTCGACGCGGGAACCGGGCTTTCGTCGAGCCTCGAATGTCCTCGACCATCGTCGCGGCCGAGACCTCTCTTGGCGAATCCTCGAAGGACTTCCAAGGAGCCGCCGTCGGAATCTTCATGGTGGAACAAATAACGGAGACAGACTCTCTTCTCGCGGTCGTCCTTGAGCAGTTGTACCTTGGCGACTGCGGTAATTCGATGGTCGACGATCTCGAACAGTGCAATGTGGACCCCGCGGAAGACCTGTCCACCGACGGACGGACGAAACCGGAAAGTTGATCGCGTTTTACTAGGGACAGTGCGGCTCGGCTCGCGAACGCATCTCGAGACTCGAAAGGCCGGAGTCCTGGCGAAGACCTCCCGTCCTAGAGCGCCGTTCTAGCGACCGTCGGCGAGGGACATTGAACGGAGACCAACGCCCTTGGTTTCCTTAATTTTAATCAGCTCAAACGATTTCGGGAAGGACGCGCGGACGTGTAAACTATATTGTTGTATAAAAATTGTCGGAGATCGCGCGATTTAACCAGGCCCCCGGGGGATTCCGATCGTTTAGGCAATTTGTACAAATGGGAATGAACTTGACGCCGCTCGGTTAGGTACTTAAATCGACGCGCCGCGAAATCCAAAAAGAAAACTGGCCATTTCGGGGACGCGCGCTCGTTCGACGCTGGAACCGCCGTGTGTCTCGAATCGGTCTACTTGAGATTTTTTTCACGATTATTAAACGACTCTGACAAGTTACTGAAAAAACGGACTCAGTGATAACCTTACGGTTTCTATAGAGAAATTTCGAAAAATCGGCTGCTCGGTAGTTCTAGTTGCTAGAACTACTCGATCGACACGACCCGTTCACGAATAGTTCTTTCAATTCTCAAAAGATAACGAATGCTTCTCAGCAAAATTACGAAAGGAATTGATCGACTGTTACGCAGAAGCGTAAGTCGATCTATTTCAATAAACTCATTGTTTCCACGCGGGAACTTAATAAATCCAGCTCGACCGCTCGGTAGTTCCAGCGCGAAGGCGCGCGCGGACTCGTGCGTCACGCAACGGACTATTTTCCGTGGGGATTTTACGAACCGGGGATCGCGATGTGTGATCGAGAAGGGGACGGAAGCGGACAATGCGTGGCACGCCTTCGCGAGAACGGTTTTTAGTTTTAATTTCAACCGGTGGAATGCGTTAGTACAGGTGATCGAGCGATCATCGGTCGACGGGACACTTTAGCCAAGATATTCTCTCGGTGGATCGATGATCACTCGGGATTTAGAATTCTGCGATTCGTTCTACTTTCTCTGTCTGTCATTCACTCTTTCTTTGCCTCTCTCTCTCTCTCTTTCTTTCTTTCTTTCTCTCTGTCACTGTATTTCTCTTTCCCCGCGCACTTTCAAATCACGCGCCAGACGAAGTGTAGCGTTGTTCCGCCGCCAGGCTCGGTTAGACGATATTTTTTATGCGAGTTTACGGAGAACACCGTCACCACGGCCGACTCGATTTGTAAGAGAATGGTATTTATATTAGCAATAAACGATTCCAAATGTCCACCGTGACTCCTCGCCTCTGTCTCGTTCGTCCACTCGCGGCTCTCCTCCATTGATCCAGCCGTGATTTTGATTCCCGCGCGGATTATGGTAATCGGCACGGCGTCCCGTGATTTACGAACGATCCCGTACACCTGCCCCGAATTTATGGTCTCGCACGGGCCCCGATATATTTCGCGCGCTCGCTGCTTTTCCCCTTGCACTATGACTTGTTTCTTAACTATGATCGGTAGAACTACTTTATCGGTAACTTTTTATTAGAAAACGAGAAGAATTCGATGCTTGTTTTATCTATGATTATTCTATCGCAGTGTTTCCCAAGATTTTCTTGTGCCATGCCACATCTAAGCCTTTCTGAAATTCTTGTGCCCCTCTTTGTAACATATATGTAATTTTTAATATTATATTTTAATATTTATTATATTTTTGCTATTTTTTACGTGCGCGAATACTGTGAAATATATGAAGTGATATTTCAAATTTCAAATTACCCCCCTTAAAAATCAAATTGTCCTCCATGTTAGGAAACACTGCTCTAAAGGTTAACGATTGCTAAGAAAAAAATCATATTTACCTTCTCTTCTAAACAAATAAATAACACTTAGATGTCCTAGAATCACTGTAAAATCTTCCACGAGTCTGACACGATATTGTAGGTCACGGGGTTAACCAAACGAATTTTTGAAATTCCCGCCATTACGGTAACGCGCATCATTGCCGATTTCCGGAAGTAGCTTTCGTCTCTCTTTCTTCCATGGGAAAGCTACCGGTACTAGTGAAAACGAAGAGGATTGTGCACAAAAAGTTGCTGTGAGAGATTTTGAATTTATTTTTGCAATAAAGTGAAAGATTCGAAACGATTAGGCATTTGGGCGAAGACGAAGATTCTAAGAGTCAGTGGAAATCTAATGAATATATCTGGCTGGGTTAGAGTACTTCAGCAATGTTCGAACATTAAATTATGGTGCAACGTGGACACACACCGTCACAGGATAGGAAAATGCAAGAAATTACCTCGTATCCTTGGACAGGACTGCAGGACTTCCTCGAGGAACCAATGTAAGGTAAGTGTAACACGTCTCAATGTCTTCGACGATGCAACTTTTCATTGAACGTTGATCATTCGTCCTTATTTTATAACAATCACGTATATTAACTCACTAACGTGTGGATATGCGATGCACGCTAGCAGACATGTAAAAATTATGCATTAACAGGTTGAAAGATGTCATTTTAGGATACCATAACCTAATTTGTATCGACGCGATTACGGGGCTACGTTCCCGCGTCGGTCACGTGACTAGTTCACCAGCACAGCCGCCCCTAGCGGGAAGAATTAAAACCTCAAAATTTTAGAAATTTAAAATTTAAAATTTCAACATTTCGAGAGCTGAAATTTCAACACGTTTAACCCTTTGCACTTGAAAAATTTGTGTATAGAAATATTCAATTTATTTTTATGAGATACAGATAGATATAGATATAGATCATATTACGCTATGATCTATTTACGTATGTTACTAAATATCTTTATTTAAGATCAACTTGTTTATTGTAATTGTTCTTCAGCAATTTCGAAGCTCCGGTCATCAGTGACCACAATTTTATGTATCGCTTATTCTTTGGCAACGAACAGAAAGAGAAAGTTACTTATTATTTAATATATAATGCTCACGTTACACTGTTATCTGGTAATTTACGCCATGAAATATTTCCACTCGACATTAGTTATCTGACAAACTATAATTACCGTCAATTTGGAAACTCCGGTTATCAGTGACTGATGCAGCAGGCAACGTGTTAACTTCTTGCGCTGGAAAGACGTGCTACGTCGAGATCTTTCTGTTCCAAAATGCTCAACGATGCCTTACACATTGATAATTTCGTTGCATCACGCATATTAGACTGTTTCAAAATATATCGCTCTATACAAAATGACTAACAAACCAAATTAATCTAGTAAAAAGAAAATTCATCGCGCGAGACTTTGCCAGTGTAAATTCGTCTCCAGCGCAAGTGGTTAACGAAAACCACCCCGAATTCGCTCCAAAAAACGAACTCATTCCAACCGGCAACATCGGCAACATTGAGAGCTTCGAACGACAGCGAAAGCAGCGTTTACACGTGAATCGAATTGTTACGCAGGGGGCGAGAAGGGAGCGTCGCGCCGGCGGAAAGGCGCGTTTTCCCGCGACGCGACGTTCCATCGGCGGTTTTCATCGTGCTCGTTTTCTGGCACACATTCCTGGCATCGCTGCGCGGGCATTACAAGTGTCCGGTTGCCGGTTTTTGCCCGAAGTGAACGGGGTAAATGAAGTAAATGGAGGGAACGGGTGAATAATGGATGAACCAGCGCGCCCGCTTCTTGCGACGGCCGCCGACGCGTCTTATTATCGGGAACGACAACCATCGGCCGTGTACCGGGCGCACCGTCGCTAATTGTTAACTAGACCGCGGATGTTTATGCAAATAAACTGCCAGCGGACACCACGGTCGAACCGAGTTTCTTTGGTCGGGCGTAATCTATCGTCTCTATGGAGAGGAGCTTTACCTAGCGGATATTTTCGTTTCATTTTCTTATTTACCCCTTCGCAATCTTCCGTTTAAATTGAATCCTATTCTTTTGTTATTGATTATGTTTAGAGCAGAGGCGACCAAACTGCGCACACGCAAACGTGGCACATTTGAGGATTACATTATAATATTGCATTGCATCCTTGCGACGACTTATTCTTTTCAAGTGCTTCAATGAACGTGTGCCTCTTGAACTCACGTAAATTAATTCATTTAATTTTGAGACTGAGTTATTCCTTTTCCTCCCCTAAGTTGCATTACATTATTGCATCGCATCCTTATATCTACTTATTCTTTTCAAGTGCTTCAATGAACGTGTGTCTCTTGAGCTCTCGGAAATTAATTCATTTAATTTTGAGACTGAATTATTCCTTTTCCTCCTCTAAGTTACATTACAATAGGCTAGGCTGCTTGCGTCCTCAGTAGAGGATCTCGAGAGAAGGTCAGACGGTCCACTATTTCGCTAGTAGTTCTACTAAGGCTATATTCTACTTCGACCGATATTCCAGGGTAGAATACGTTTGACTTTATGGAACACTGTAATGTATTAAGTCAGACGAATAGCTGTTTCACTTTCTTGGATTCATTGGTTATCCTGTGATCAATGTGGAACCCTGTAAAATATTCGTTTATATAAACACTTAGAACGTTAAAGATAAAGTGCAATCGAAGGTAGAAAATCGATGATCAAAGGATCTACAGAAAATTTATCGAAAACTAACAAGGAAGCCTTATACTTTAACTTTCATCGAAAGTGTTATACACAGTAACTTTCGACTAAAGGCATTTATCTTTCATCGATTCCGTTTCACTCCAATTGGAATTGTCGCGGTAGAATAATTGTTCGTCGATACGGATCTCTGGAAATTCGTTCGGCCGGATTATAAATCGTAACGACGTTTGTCATCCACGAGAAAAGGGGAACGGCGACAACGATTAAGCGGCGATGCATCAACTTTTATCGACTCCATCGTGATTCGGGGCGAAGTAACGAAATTACAATGTTCGCCCGCTTTCTACGGTTGTCCGCGTGCAACCGAGGAAACGAGCACGCGACGCTGGGGCAGCAAGCCTATAATTCATTTGGAACAGTTATTACTGAATTATCAGTTTCGTCTGCGGTCGCCGTGGCCACCTTAAATCATGCCCTCGGCCCGTGTGCCGATAATAAAGTGAAACGGCGGCCATCGATGACACTGATTTCCGATGGATCATCACATAGCAGAAAATCAGGGTTCCCGCTCAATCGGTGAAATCAATCTGCATGTTCGCGCGTTCACGTTTAAGAATCCGTTAATCAAGATTTTATTTTGATTCATCTGGTAGTTCTAGTGTTAAGTTTGCAGGCAGAGGATCTAATCTGTCTTATCGCTTGAAGCGTTCTACGCTTCTTGCTTTGGAACTTGCATATTTACTTCAATATTATCCCAATATTCGAGGATAAATATCAAGCTAAAATTAGCCCTCGAATCTTCGATATAGAACCACGAAAGGAACGAGTTTACATTAATCCAACTAGTACACGTTGCAACAAATGTTTACAAGTCTCTACGACATTCCTGCTTGCCGTTCCTCGCATCGCGAACCCAACAATTTCGAACGATCCACTAAAAATCAAAGACTCTCGCATAATATTCAGCGGCAATCAACGAACAAATTACCCATCGTCATTATCACGTCGTTCGGCAAACGGGCGGCTCATTACCAGCAATTTTTCCGCGCGTTAACCGCGATCGACGCGGCGCGAGCCTGCGATCTTCCCATCGTAAATTCGATTTCGCAACGGAACGTCCACCCATTTACCTAATTCCCGTGCGCGGTCACTGCGATGGAATCCCTTCACCTAACGTCGCGCGGAAAAACGTCGTTACGGAATGCCCGGGGATCCGAGTTTCCATCGTTTCTCGGGCGCGTATTCCACGGAGTCGAGATTCCAGCGCGGCGGAGGACACGCGGCGCGCCTGAAACTCGAGGACGGCGACGATCATCGACGGGAACACGCAGCTGCCGGCCGGTAGCCGCGTCATCACCCGCGTGATTGGCCCCGGGGACCATCGGGAAAACAGTCTGCCGATTTGTTATTCGATATTCGACGCCCGCGCACCGTCATTCTCGGCGACGCTGGAACGCTTTGCTACCGATCGTGACTGGTTTCTTGATCCTTTGTTCTTGGGAATTTCGGTTCGAGGCGGACGGATACTTCGGTTGTCATCTGCTTAATCTAGTTAATCGAGAATCGCAGTGAAAAATTAGGGATATAGAATCTACACTGTAGATATCGATAGATATTCAGGCGTCTAATAGGTCTTCTCTTTCTCATGACTTTCATCGTTCCAATAGCAACATGAGAAAGGTAAGAGATTCCAGTGAAACCATTTGCCTCCAATTCAGTAGGGAGTATCTATATACAAAAGCAGGA